AGAGTCTATTGGCACTGAGGAATCGTCTGGGCACCTGGAAGGTGGTCAGGTTCTCCAGCATCTACGAAGAGACAGATATGCAATAGAAATCCTGTAATTGTCCATTCAGTGACCTCATTCTTGGGATCTTTGCAAAGAGTCCTAAAATGTTCTTTGAGGACTATATTTGCAAATTCAGGCTATGCTAACATTTTTTCATTGAGCCTTTGTATTTTGAAAACACACTGAAAAGAAGCCAGGAGCAAGCATCCCCACCTTCATCCCGTGGCAAGTTGGTTTCTCTGGCCAATGGGTTCCACCTCCACCTTGCAGCGCCCGCTCACCCCTGTCTCTTTTTGATGTGGTTCAGTGTTTCAGTGAACTGCATGACTTCATCTGTCTGTCGAACTTAAGCTTTATGACCAAGAGACACATGTCACTGTATTACATATAGATACTGATTACATATAGATATTCAAAGGTAATGTGCACCCGTTTGCACAGACTGCCTAGCTTTGACATAAGTCAAGTCATTCTCCTATATTACATATCTCTAAGAGTCTTCCTGTTTATGTTGTTGGGGCACCAATACCATTACAAAAAAAAGATAACGTAGTTCTATGCCAGAGGATGAATGTGGAGGTTCTGAAGATAGTTTAAATCCTATAAAGTGTTTCCATTGTAACTTTTTTTTTAGATTTATTTATTTATTATGTATACAGCATGTATGACTGCAGGCCAGAAGAAGGCGCCAGATCTCATTACAGCTGGTTGTGAGTCACCATGTGGGTACTGGGAATTGAACTCAGGACCTCTGGAAGAGCAGTCAATGCTCTTAACCTCTGAGCCATCTCTCCAGCCCTCCATTGTAACCCTTAAGAGTATGAAATAAAAAGCCTCAGACTTATAGTTAGACCCTAAGGAAGTTGGTACAGGGGGTTGCCTATGCAATCCATGGGGACACTGGACATTGTGAACAAAGGCTGGCAGTCACCTGTGTTGTCACGCTGGAAGATAACGGGTTCTTCTGTGTTTCTCTTTCTGTGGTGTATCTGCTACTCTAGGGGCCCCAAGGACCCAAGGGGCAGAAAGGTGAACCTTACGCACTGTCTCAAGAAGAACGTGACAAATACAGGGTATGTGTGCCCTGGGTGGGGGATGGCACTCGGGGATCCCATGCAAACTGTCAACAAAGCTCGTTAGGAATTTGCTCCGAGTGAAAGAAGGAATTCACAGATTCATGGGGGAGCTCAAGGCTGTGGTTGCGGGGGGTGGGGGTCATCATATTCTCTTTGGGTTGGATTTATTTTCCCCGTGTTCTCAATGCCCCAGACCAAATACCTCAGTCTGTCAGGGCTTCTGTATTCCATGCTTACTTCCAACTCTGCCGTGGAGGTAAATAAACCCAAAGAGGCTTTAACACCAGTAACTCTCAGTGGCTTAGGAGATGGTTCAGTCGGCAAAAGACTTGCCTTGCAAGGATAAGACCTGAGTTAAAAATCCCAAGACCCATGTATAAAGTGGAGCACAGTGTCTGATACATAACCCCAGCACTGGGGAGGTAGGGGACAGGCAGATGCCTGGGTTCAGTTGCCATCCAGAGTCGCCTACTTAGGGAACTCCAGACCAGTGAGAGACGTTCTCACAAAACCATGTAGCTGTCTCCTGAGGAATATATTGACCTCTGGCCTCCCATGTGCCTCTACAAACTCGTTCACCCATATGCACACACATACACATACACACACACACACACACAATTGTAATTCTTAATTAACCCTGTTTCCTCTCAACCAGGGTGAACCTGGAGAGCCCGGACTGGTCGGCTACCAGGTGAGTATCCTTTTCATTAGGGACTATTCCATACAGAACTTGAAAAATACCGGAGTAGACACACCAGTCTGCCTGTCTTCAAACCATGTTCTCTTTGTCCGTCCACAGGGGCCTCCTGGCCGCCCAGGGCCAATAGGACAGATGGGTCCCGTGGGAGCTCCCGGAAGACCGGTAAGTCCTTGTGCTTGCTCACCCCCAGGCCCGTGTCAGGTCACCCGTGGATGTTCCTTTTTTTAACCTGCTGAGTACCATTGAGCCACAGACTGGTTCTGGCTGGGGTCCCTCCCATCATGTGTAAGCTCTCCAGGTTCCATATTAACTATGTGACAAGGGACCATCATCCCTGGAGAAAGCAAACCAAATACCCCACTCAGGTCAAGAAGAAGGAAACAGATTTTTTTTCTGGGCCAGGCCGTGTGAGACAGGAGCATCCCACCTGGGCCACAACCATTGTAGAAGGGGAAACACTGGGTGTCCTTTATAGAACGGCCCACTGTGCGGAGGCTACAGGTTGTCCCTCCCTTCCGGGGCAAGGACACAGCAAAGTGTGAGGGGATAGAAACGGGCTGAGGGAAGGTTTGCAAGGGAGGAGGAGGGGGCTAGTGCTCCCCAGCCCCGCCCACTCCCCAGCCCCGCCCAGTCCTTACCCAGTTCCCCAGCCCCGCCCACTCCCAGCCCCGCCCACTCCTACCACCACACTGAGGCCAGAGCACATCTCAGCCACCACGAGAAGACTTCCGCCTCATTAAGAGCACTTCTCCGTGGCTGCGCACGCCTTTAATCCCAGCACTTGGGAGGCAGAGGCAGGAGGATCTCTGTGAGTTCGAGGCCAGCCTGGACTACAGAACGAGATCCAGGGGGAAAAAAAAGAGCACTTCTTAGGTTCACTCATATAGCAACAACTGAGTGGCTTAGGGTTTTCCTCTAAATAGAGTTCAGAGGGGCTGGAGAGGTAGCTCAATCAGTGGCCTGCTTGCTGTGTAAGCATGACAGCCTGAGTCCCGTCCCTGGCGCCATGTGAGAAACCGAGTGTGGTATAACACACCTGTAATCACAGAGACGGGGAGGCAGAGACAGGAGGATCCCAGAATCCCGCTGACCAGCCAGCCTAGCTGAATTAGTAAGCAACAGGTTTAGTGTGAGACCCTGCCTCAAAAAATAGAGTGTGATGGAGTGATTGAGGAAGGCCACTGGCCTTCTTGCACATGCACACACACACATGCGTGCACACGTGCATGCACACACACACATGCACATACACACGTGAAAAGTGTATGGAACAGATAGAAAACACAGTTCGAGGACCTTAGGGTGCAGATGTGTAGGTGCTAAGTCTGTGGAATTGACCTACAGATCCGTTCTTTGCACGAGCGTTTGTGATTCCACCACCAAAATGTGACAGTGTCATGTGGGGAGTCTGGCTGCAGTCACAGGGCCTGGGACCTCACAAAGCCTAGAAACAAACACATCAAGGACACGGGTGAAAGTCACCAGCCCAAAACACACAAGCAAACCAGGAACAGCTGTGGGTAGACAGCGGCGCATTCCAAGGACACTGACCCCGTCTTCCTCCTGGCTTTTCATCCCACCAAGACAGATGTGGGGAAACTCTGACCATACTGTTCGAAGTGGACAGTTGATGGTTTTTCCCAGGACCTCCAAACAGATGTCATCTGGGTCCTGGGAGGGAAAGAAAAATATGCATGTCTTTGTATTTCTGCAGGGACCACCGGGGCCCCCTGGACCCAAAGGACAACCAGTAAGTTGGCGGGGACCAGGCGGGGGAGGGCTCTTTGGTGATTAATGCCTGCATTCTTCGACCAGAGAACAACTTGGCTGACAGCTATTTGTGGTGTAGACTACGCTGAGAGCCATTGTATAGTTTAAGACTTGCTGTGTGGAGTGTCTGAGCACCCGGCCCAAGCCGATGTGAGGATGCTGGGGTGACGCTGTTTGGGGCTCCATGACACCTCTGTGGCTGTGTGCAAATCACACTGACTGAGCCGGGATAAAAGGTGCAGCTGAACAGCCTAGGGGCAGCTCCTGTTTATCTGCAGGTGCAATTTTCCAGGGCGGGCAGGGGGGCACTGTGTTTGTTTAAGGGAAGTGGGAGACCCCCATCCGTGGCCATAGTGAGAATCCCTCAGAGGCTCAGGTCAGCATTAGAGACATGTCCAATGCTACTGAGTCAGGCCGGGGGGGCCCAGAGCCACACTACTCCCATGACAGTGTGGTACTTGTTACATTGTATGGAAGCACAACCAAGCATATAGTTTGTTAGAACCTTGGAGAACAGAGCCAGGGTTTGTTATGACCTGGGAAAGTTGGACAAATGTCCAGACTCCGTAATGCTGATGAGGAAAATATCTGATCAGAGATACTGGGGTCCAGCAGGAAGCTTGGAAGAGCCATCCACTGCTCCATCTCCAGATGCAGGTCTTCATGTTCCCACGCCTGCTCCATATGCAGTCCCATTTCTTTGACCCCTGGTGACCTTGCCCGCCACCCACGCCCATACCCCTTAGGCTCCCATCCCTCCAACAGAGTTTCCAGCTGGAGCTGGAACTCGAGGAGGCTCCTGGATACCCCCCACTCCCCCTCCCACTCACCCCCATCAGACAGCCCCTGAGCAGGATGGGAAGGGCCTAGAGCCAAGGACAGCGGAAGTCTGCTCCGCTGCAGGGCCAAGGAAGCAGTGGCCCAGCCCAGGCTCTGGCCTCAGATCTCCCCTGGCTGCTGCAAATACAAACAGCCCCCTCACCCTGGGCCAAGTCACTTCCTGGCAACTTTGACAAGCAGCTCTGAACGGGGAATGCTGTGGGGACTCCATGGCCGCCATGCTGTGCTTTGATATGAGCTCCCAGCCAGGTGGCGAAGCAAGAGAAGCAGAATTTAATTAAAGGTTCTGCTTTTATTTTCAAAAGATATCTAAGCATCGGAGGGGGCAGACAGTAGACTGCCGAGAGAGACTGGAGGGGTCCTGTGTGACTCTTGCTCACTGTAGCAAGAGAGAGACCCTGGGAAAGAGACGCAGCTGCTTGGGGCCAAGAGGAAAGAGCTCAGTGTGGAAACGCGTGTGAATTTGTGGGGTGGCTGCTCGCATGCATCGCTGGTCCCAGGCGTCAGGGAGGGCTGACTCCAGCCCAGCTGCTCCTCAGAGGAACTGTTAGATAAACACTGGCTGAGACGCAGGCCTGACTTCGCCTCAGAAAACAATCCAAACAGGCACATAAATATGAAATGCGATCGGCGTGAAGTCCCCTAAAATCATTAGAAAGAAAGGAATGTTTCTATGAAGTTAGGGTGGTTTTTACCAAAATGAGATGACTTGGATCTCCAGCTACGGTGTCTGGACAATCATCTGGGCTGCACTTTACGTTAGAGGACCCAGAACCCAAAGGCAAACTCTGACCTCCTTTGTTTGGGCCGAGTACTAATGTGTGAGCTGACAGGATCCCTCTCCACCACTCACTCCTCAGGCAGAGGACCAGGCAGAGGCACTTGGCTCCTAAAGTACAAGGGTCACAGTTCAGGGAGGGCTTGGTCTCTTTTCTTCTAAAAATAATCTTTCAGTTCGCTGTCATTCTTGATTCTTACAAACTCATAGACACCATCTCTGTTTCCAGGGCAACCGAGGACTTGGTTTTTACGGAGAGAAGGGCGAAAAGGTAAAGAGACCTGGTGACAGGAACTAGTGACCATCACTGCCCAGGGTGACCTGGTGCTCCCCAGGTGACCTGCACACACACAATTTGAACAGAGATTGTGTCGAGTGTCAGGTCGCCCACACTCCAGGGACAATTGTGGATCAGTGAGACATGAATGTGAACTGTCTAGGCTGACGTAGATTCTGACAGGGACACGTGACTTCCGCCTACCTTAAGGACTGGGAAGTGGAAGTGTCCCCTAAGAGTGACTTCTGAGGTGTGGGACCCAGAGATGATTAAAAGGACTAGCTGAACCAGGCGGTGGTGGCGCATGCCTTTAATCCCAGCACATGGAGGCAGAGGCAGGCGGATCTCTGTGAGTCTGAGGCCAGCCTGGGCTACAGAGTGAGTCCCAGGACAGCCAAGGCTACACAGAGAAACCCTGTCTTGAAGCAAAAAGGTGGGGGGACTCAACTGAAGAATAATCTGGAATTACCACAGGGAACAATCACACGGCCGCCCTGGCTGAGTTCAGTCACGAAAGGGTTATGTGACTTCTGTTACCGCCTACTGCTATCCTTCCAAGACCCGTAGCCTGGAAGAGGAACATGGCGCCCACCCCCATCCAGCCAACCCCATTCTCATTCACCCGTGAGGCCTGGCTGCTCACTGAGCAGATCAGTCCCTCTGGCTCTACTATGTGCATGCTGACATTGAATTCCATAAGTGGAAATCAGAATTCCTCAGATATTCGGGGGGGGGGGGGGGGATTAAAGATCAAAACACATAAAAATGTGAAGTCCCCTACGACGAAATATCCCCCAGTAATAGTGTAAGATGAAAGGAACAAGGACCTGGGAAGAGCCCACTAGTGGGAGGGAGTGGTCACGTGGGGGACCGTGGAGATGAAGTCAGGTCTGCAGTCCACAAAAGGCAGGCCTCAATCAGATGCTAACGAACACAGCAAGGCCGTCATGGGTACTGTGGCCTCAGACAGTCTTCGAGCGTGTTAGCACTCAGAACACACACAGCAGCCTTCTTCAGAGGGTGACCCAGCACTCATCTGCTGCCCTTCCGGTCACATGATAGCTGAGCTCAATCTCAGGTGTCGTGTGTGTGTGTGGAACTGGCAGAAGAAAAGTCAGTCAGGTTCGTGTGTGTTCATCGGTTTCAGGAGAAAGGGTGTGACAAGGTGTGAGGCTTGGTGGCCACCGCTGTTACTGACCCAAACACACTGACCGCCTCCTTGAGATATTTGGTCTAGCCTTTGCTCTTTAGCGTATACAACACCTTTTGTTTGCGGTGACACCAGAGTCAGACCTGACAACTTCCTTGTATAGAAATCTATCGAGGGAGGAGGTGGGATCTGTGGGTGGTACGTAGGGTGAGTAGAAAATTTCTTAATCAAAAAAAAAAAAAAATGTTGAATTAAAAAAAAAAAAAAAAAACCCCCTGTCTCAAAAAACAAAAAAAAAAAAAAAAAAAAAAAAAAAAAAAAAAAAAAAAATCTACCAAAGGCTGCATCCCACAGAAGCAGGTACAGTGTAGAATTATTAGTAATCTCTGTGACCTCGACACATCAGTTCTAAACAATTACTAGTGGAAGTTTGGTTCACGCCATTTTAGATTATGGTTTTGATTTTGATGTGGTGATATGATGGTTTAGAATGATTTTTTGTTTCGACACAAAGCAGGCATTCAGTAATATGCGAAACAAAATAGCGTGTGTGGTAGGATTGTGCTGTCACCCAAGTTACGTACCCTTCTTCTGATTCAAAACTGTCGCTTTTGCTGAACAATCTGCAGGGTGACGTAGGGCAGCCAGGACCCAACGGGATCCCATCCGACACCACGCTTTTTGGGCCTACAACGACAACATACCATCCGGATCTGTACAAGGTAAAAGGGGGGTCATTCCCCGTTGACCTAGGAAAAGGAGGGTGCAGATGTCACTTGCTTCATTTTAGGCAAACAGTTGCATCCTAAGAAGGGAAAGACCTCACCACAAAATTGGGAAGGAAAAAAAAATCAGATTTGCACCAGCTCTCAGAGAGACTGCGCAGTTCCTTCCAGCCAGCAGGAGGCGACTGTGAGCTGCAGGATCTGAAGTGTGGGCAGCCAAGATGGGCCAAGGACCTGCCAGTCCGAAACAATCCAAAAATAGAGCGAAGAAAGTCTATGCTGCTTTTAAAGCCTCTTGACTTGAGATGTTAGTGTGTTCCAACTAACTGCCTCTTCCTAAGCAGACCTTATTTGACTGAGGGTGGTCATTTGGGGGTCTTCTTAGGGTGTGTTCTCCCACTGTGGGATGGATATGTGGGAGCTAGCATCCATCTCCCTGGATGCTCAGAAGTGCCTGTGCCCTGTTGCTGGTGCAGATAACTGCTCAGGAGGAAGAGAGAAAGGCTTCCAGACACATCACAAATCACATAAGAATTCATTCATCTTGTGAACATTCTAGAAAAATAATCGTTTTTGCATTTGGGTTTTGAAGCTGCAGCATTTGGTGCTGTTATCAATTGCCAGGAATTCATCAAGATTGCCTAAAGTTCTATCAAGTACTTTTTAACCCCTCATCCTAAGCCGGGATCGGTGCTTAAGTACCGCCGGTCTCAAAGGTGCAAGCATTTCTTATTCTGTATGTTCTTCGCAGGGCGAGAAGGGAAGCAGAGGAGAGACGGGAATACCAGTAAGTGCAGCGATGAAACTCTTTCCTTCTGTGATTGCGCTGCCTCCGGGGCTCCTGTGAGAATAAATGGTGGGGTGTGCTCTGAATGGTTGGGTGAGCTCTGAACAGTGGGTGAGCTCTGAACGGTGGGTGAGTTCTGAATGGTGGGTGAGCTCTGAACAGTGAGGTGTGCTCTGAACAGCGGGGTGAGCTCTGAACGGTGGGTGAGCTCTGAACGGTGGGTGTGCTCTGAACGGCGGGGTGAGCTCTGAACAGTGGGTGTGCTCTGAACGGCGGGGTGAGCTCTGAACAGTGGGTGTGCTCTGAACGGTGGGTGTGCTCTGAATGGTGGGTAAGCTCTGAATGGTGGGTGAGCTCTGAATGGTGGGTGTGCTCTGAACGGTGGGTGAGCTCTGAACGGTGGGTGTGCTCTGAACGGTGGGTGAGCTCTGAATGGTGCAGTGTGCTCTTGGTCTTAGCCCTTGGGTTCTTGGGTTCTCATGCACTTCTCTACATGGGAAGGTATCAAAGATACATAATACATTTGGTATAATATTGGATATATTATAATATAATTATAATAATCTTTTTTTTCATATTTCTTCATTAAGAAATTTTCTACTCACTCCACATACCACCCACAGATCCCCCCTCCTCCCTCCTCCCACCCCCCAGCCCTCTCTCCCAAGCCACCCCGCATCCCCATATCCCCCAAATCAAGGTCTCCCATGGGGAGTCAGCAGAGCCCAGCACACTGAGCCTAGGCAGGTCCAAGCCCCTTCCCACTGCACCAAGGCTGCGCAAGGAATTAACATTATCTTAAGCTATAAGCTGAGCATGACCCTGTGTGAATGAGGGGCTGGGAGGGAGACAGGCTGGCCTCTACTCTGGCCCAATCTTGTGTATCCCATCCAGTGTGGCTCACCTTCTAGCTCTTCCTCCTCACTGTTCCTCACCCTGTGGTGGTGGCATGTGGCACCCTGGATAAAGGTGGCCCCCACACAGCCCTCTGCTCTCCCTACCCCCACATTACCTGTTGTATCATCCTGTCACTGAGGGGCCTGGGAAGGCTGCAGAGCATCCCACTGGTGGACTCAGCTCTAGGCACCCCTCACATTCTTGTTTCTCTCTCCTAGGGCACCACCTTGAAGGGCGAGGAAGGCATCATGGGATTCCCGGGAGCGCGGGTGAGCCATGCACTGTATAACGCTGGCTGGTTGGCTAGTTGGCTTTTTGCTCTTGAAACATATTTTCTTTTTTTAGATCAGTTTTTGAGGTTCACAGAAAAACTGAGCAAAAAGTAGAGGTTTCCCATGGCCCTCTGGCCCCACCCTGGGCACAGCCAACCAGCTGGGCATACACCACCAGGGACATCCCCTCGGGTGCATTTGCTACAACTCATGAACCCATGCTCACCCCATGCTGAAGTTTTTAAAATACTGTACCTGCCCTGAAGGTTCCTTATGGTATGAGACAATCTTTGCAACAAACTGCAGAGAGGATCTAGAATGCAGGTTCATTTCTGGTCACCCAGAGTCCAGTAAGACTGTCCCTCCCTCATGGGGAGGCTCATCTTTAAGAGAGAGATGTCACCTTCGGGGCCATGAGCATCAGCAGCCACCTCAGCCCCTGGGGTGGGGTTTGGCCACCTGCACCTAAGTTCCAAACCTTGAAAGCAGAAGGCTGCTCATCCGTCATTGGTACAGCCACGCAGTCATTGGTACAGCCATGCAGCCCTCCGGGGAATTTCGTCACCTCTTCTAGACGGTTTATTGCTGTGTTTTCTGTTCAACGACACAGGGTCTTCCTGGCCTTGACGGAGAAAAAGGAATCTTCGGGCAGAAAGTAAGTCTGACACACGAAATGTGAAGTGTCCTGGGCCCGGAACCTCATGCCTATTACAAGTGACATCTCAGAAAACTGCATTTGTCCCCAAAGCCCACTGGGGATGTCCCCTGCACTGACAGGCTCCCAGGTTATCATGCCAGCTCTCAAAGCCCCAGTGGAGCATTGACATCTGCCTGGGCTGTGCCCATCAGTCCACTAGTCCCAGGCCTCTGTCACTAGGTCCCCAGCCCGGGCATCACACACCTCTGTGTCATTGTCACACATAGGTTGTCATCTGAGTGACTGAGTCCCCCTCTGTTCCTTAGAGATCTACACATACTGTGATATTTGCTTATGTTTGATGATCACCTGGTTGTTTTTCCCCTGTGTGTGGCACAGTTTTCTTTTCTTTTCTTTTTCTTTTTTTTTTCTTTTACTTTTTAAAAGAAAAGAAAATGTGTGTGAGAAATTTATTATAGGTCCAGACAAGATTTAGCATCAACTAAACACTAGCTGGAGCACGAAGTACACTTAGAAATGTTTTTATCTAATTAATGGTTTATTTACTCACAGCATTCATTGTACGCAAACAATTCAGGCCACCGAGTGCAGAGCCCAGCACCATCCTGTCACCCACAGTCCTGGGATCTGGCTTTATCTATGGCAGCCTCCAGGGTCATGTAACCTAGCATGCTCATAACTTGGCAACGAAGAAATAATAAGCCCATTTGTGCCATGCTGTTCTATGTTTCCCCCACGTAGGGGGTCACCCCACTTCGGCACATATGCACCCACACATGCTAGGAAGCCGTGGGGTACACACTGACACCACATTTACTTGCCCCAAGATACAGCCATGCCTCCAGTCAGCTTGCAGTCCGCACCAGAGTGCACACGCAGGGTCCCATGGCTGGTGTCTCCACCCCTCTGTCCTGTCAGGTGCCCAGAGAGCAGCCTCAGAATGCCAGCTCCCCGTGAATCCTGCTCACGTTGCCACAGCAGGTATCCACATGACGCTGTGGAGCCCAGAGGCTGAACTAAGACAGCAGAGCTGTGTGCCTGGTCTGGGACAGCAGGTAGTCTTGCCTCCAGGTGTCCTGGCTGACCTCCATAGCTCCAGTTATGCGCCAAGCTCTGGCACTGACGGTGCACCATGGAGATCAAGGTCATGGCTGTTCTTATTTCTTCTCATTGGCTGACCATAAATGCAGGCTGGCGGCCTCACCCTAACTACATCCAACTATCTGTCACATTAGTCCTTGCTAAGAGTGTCCCCAGAGGTAACACACTAGAGGCAATGACTGTCCCTCCTGCGTCCCAACCAAGGCCAGAATGCCACTCACTAGCTTAAGGAGGCAGATACTGTAGAGGCAACTGAGGCGGACACTACACCCAAAACCCAGCTGAATCAGTCAGTGTATCGCTGAGGTGGGCGGGTGACATGTTGTCAGTCTTCAGGGAACACAAGGGAGCTGTCATGTCTAAAACTGTGGTTCCGCACAGCTGCCCCTGGACCTACAGGTCCATGAAGACTAGACCCCTAGACAATGGCCCGGCAAGCCCTCGGCCCTGGGTCCTCTGGTTGCTGCTGCTCAGGCACCAGTATGATCGGGGTGGCCATCCAGCTTTCTCTCTGTAGCTTGGGAAGAAACAGACATCTGTGCTTAAATGGGTCAGAGGAAGAAATAGTTTACCCAACTGAAAAAATAGGGAAATAGGCAGACATACACAAATGACTCATCATACTGCGTGTTAGTACAAACCACATTATCCGACTGGCCCAGCTGCTGCCTCCACATGAGCTTTCCAGATGTGCTGAAGCTTTGGCCTTAGGAGCCAGAACCCAAGGCAGCTCCAAGGAGCCACTGTGAACAGTGACCCATTAAAGCAGCGTGCCAGAGAAGGAGGAAGCAGAGAAAGCCATGTGTCTTAGGGAAGCCCCTGCCTCCCTGTGAGAACAAAGAACCTTCGGCACATGCCTGTGTGCACGGACACATGGACACAAGGACACATGGACATGGACACCTAGCAACGTGAACGGCTTATGCATTTGGTTGTATTACATTTTCGGAAATGTAATCATTTCCCTCACTCGGGTAAACCTGTTTAATGACGGCAAGGTCTTCTCCCACCCTGGAGCAACTGTAGAGCGTGCTCATGGAGACCTAGTCTCCCGGGACCATGCACTGACCACAGTGTAGTGGGGGTGCACCGCATAGGAAAAGGCCATCCCTGTGTGGACAGGACCCCTGGATTGCCACAGAACTCCTCAGACCCCACATCTGCCCAGGTGTGATTTTCCAGCTCCGTGGGAGAAGGTACAGGCAGGCAGCACAGCTGTGCCCACAGACTGGGCACTCAGTGGCATCATGGTGCTGTGCCTTCCTGCCCCACGGCCCTCTCAGACTGAGCCCAGGAGAAGTCTTTCCCCCAAGGCCCCTAAGTTAGATTTCACTAGGTTCTGTTCTTTGTGCCACGGGGCTGAGGACAAACCTAGAGTCCAGAAAGACATGGGAACGCATACTCATGAGACAGCAGCCTTCTGTTCGGCATTGGAGGAGACGTTCTCTGGGAGCCTAGCTGTAAATGCTTCCTGACAGTGCACTCCTGCCAGCTAC